CCGCGGGATCTTGGTATTTCAAACGAAGCAACTACAATCTTTTTTTTTTTAATATTTTGTTTGTATATTGTTAGTTTTGGAGGATTTTTTGCAGTTACGCATTAAAAACTAACACACTATTTGCCTTAACTTTCTGTCTTGCTGGTATTGTTACTTCTCGCAAATGAATCTTCGAAACTTATTATTACGCATTAGCTCTAATGAACCCGCTACCTATCATTCATCAAGACATATGCGCGACTTTTATTAGAGTACGTGAACCTGAAAATTTAGGGAAACTAAAGTTGGAAATGAATTCCTGCACAAAACAAGCGTAAATTCCCAGCCCCCTCCCCTTCCCCTTTCCCTCTCCTCCAGCCCCGGGCACCATCTTCACGCAGTTGTTAAACCGGTAATTGGACAAGAGTTTTTGAAATGCTGAAGTAGTACTGCTACGTCATCTTCAATGTAGAACGACGCACAAAGCGGTAAAAACAGAGCAAGATGGAAAAATCATAACAGCTTCTTCTACACCAAGAATACTACAGACCCCCACCCCCTTCCCTCCCTCCCCCCCCTCCTCCTCCTTCCTCCTTCCCCCTTCTTCCCCCTCCCCAATTAGCAAAGTGGCTACTGAGATGCTTGCAAACACTGAGCGCAGCTACGGCACGCCCTCAGTTCTGCTCGGATTTTGCATTCACAGATGATAATTGGTGTTGAAAGCCAACATGTTAAAGTTAGCAAACTGTATTGCACATCAAACAATCTATGTGGTGAGGAAAATTACAAAAGCGGAGCCAACTGGTCACTGAACTTCACTTCCATTCTTCCTTGGAGGCAAAAAAATTTTTTCATAAATTTTCGAAAAAAACTGATTCTTCAGTGCTTTTGGCTCATATATCACGACTTTATCTAGCAAATACAAGCATAAAGACAATAAGAAAGCTAAAGAGTAAAGCAACCAGAGTATCAAGTGAGGATCGCACTTTTATCCAAGTAAAATAAAAAAGGGCATTATCAAGATTATCTAAATCCAAGAATATCCAAATGGGAGAAAAATTCAAACAAGAAACTGGTAACCACATCGTTAGATTACGCAAAAAAAGCCCGTCAAAAAAGACAAAAAATTTAGTCAAATAAGCATTAAGTTAACTGAAAAAAAAAGCATTAAAATTGCTTCCAAAAGCAAAAAGTGGTCCAAGTCAGGATTACCGAAAAAAATACGCAAATTTCTTTGGTGAGAAACGATTTCGTGATCCGGACAAGATAGAAAACTAAAACTCTGCGGGGATATTTTCCGTGCATGTAAGATTTCAGATTCAGTTACTGCGCATGTCTGCATTACTGGAAATAAGTCAAAGTAATCGGTTTGCAGCGCCAAGGAGGGGGAAGGGGGAAGACAACGGGGCAAAATGCTGAGGCCAAAATAAGGTGAAGCCATTGATAGCGATAAACGGATTATGCCACAAATTACGTTGTATTAAAGCATAAATTGTAGAAAATAAGAATTTGAGTTTTTTTTTTTTTAGAAATATTAAAACTTTGATATCAATTGCAGCAGAGCAGTCGCAACGGTTTTTTCCAGTAGAATCTTTGTCAATCAGGATGCCAATATTGCTTGCGATGTAGTTCATTTTTTCGATAACATTTCTCACCATATCTATAATTTTAAAACTTGAATGTGACTTGCTTGTGCCTTTAGAACTTTAATAATGTCTTCATTCACATGACATTCAAGTAAGAAATTCTTCTATTCTTCTCTTTAATAAGACGAACACTTTGGTTCTTGGATTAGACGCAATCCATACTCTACCTCTCCAACTAAGCAACTGGTAATTTTTTAATTTGCGTTGGCTAATGCTGCATTGCCTGGTGAGTCACATGCTAGCAAGTCTTTTTTTGTGCTCGCTTTCGTTTCTCACAGAAGCATTTTTATGTGTTTTTGCTGTGCAACACTATAGCACTGCTACAATAAACCAAAACACGTATTATCGAAACTTCTTCAGTGTGTGTGTGTTCGGAAACGAGTGAACTTTTTCACCCACTTTCAACTCAGCAAACAGGAAGGTTGGGGGGCTGAAATTTCGGGGTCATATCCCCATCTAGTGTGTCACTTTCCCGTCCTAAAACACGCCTACACCTCGCGTACAGACCAGCGAAAAAAAAACACGCAAATTTCTTTGGGAACCATGCGCCCCATAATGCAACACATTCATCCCAGCCAATGCTCTTCCCTCCGCATGCAGGAAAAGGCCAAAACACAGCCAATATAAGGCCAATTGGTAAACTACAGCGCAGGGACCATTCCTGTTGTTAGCGACCTGCAAGTTTAGCACAAAAACGCATGACCGCACCGGCAAGCTTGCTGCGTTGCAGCTTGAATTTAAAGCTTAGTCATTTCGAAATATTCCTGACCTATGCTGGTTATCATTACCCAACCCCAAAAGTTGCACTCCTAGCGCAAGGCGAGGCCATCTTATCAATTAGCATATTCTACCTCTAAATGATCATCCTATTACGTAAATTTTTTCAAAACTTTTAATCCGAAAAAAACGTACTTGCATGGTATTTTCGATTTTTTTGTTTCTTTTTCACTATCACTAGCGTTTGCGGATTGAGCACTGCCAGCAGCTTCTTCATCGCTCTGCGCACTTTCTTCTGTCATTTTTCGTTTTCTTTTTTTCGAACTGGAAGCCGAAGCTGCATCATCATTCAGCGGAACGTTTAGCTCGTGTTTTGCATACAGTGGAACAGCATCGTCGATTTTCACATCTGATTTTGCTTTCGACAGATCAAACAGTTTCTGAAATCACGCATCACGAGTGCTTTTGCAAGTGTTTTCATCATCGCTTTTTAGTGGATAAGCGCCACTGGCTGTTTTAAATCAGTGGAAAGGCAAAGTACATATTTTAATTCGAGCTGCCCCAACAAACTGAAAATTTTCTTTGCTAAATCCACACTCCGATTTGCAACTTTTTTGCGCTTCCTACAGAGAAATTGCCAGTTGCATAACTGGAATAGCAGAATAAAAGGACTGAACTTAGGTGCCATGTATAAGAAGACATTTTACGATGCAGTCTGTAAAAAAAAAAAAAAAAAACTAAAATGTTGTTAGCTGTATAAACGGAAAAGCTATCTATGTAGCTAATTTCAAATCTCCGAGTAAGTATGTCCAGTAAGTACCGTATCTGTAGTACCGTATCCGAGTAAGAACCGTACCTGCCTCTTGCTTTTAACCATTTCAAGCTGATTTCCTGGATATACTGTTTATGTTAAAAAATCTCTCGTCCTGAATTCTGACCAAATTCTGTACTCTTTCACTCGTATTTTAATTTCTAGCAAAGGTTGGCACAAATACATCGAACAGGAGGTGGGTATTAACCGAAATTTTGCATTTTTGGATCGAACAGCCTGGCAGAACTGTTCTTGGCGTGTTGGAACAGTTCCAGTAACATTACTTACACAGATGAGCCCAAGCAGTCTTGCTATTCTTGGTAGCATCTAGCAAGAAAAATCCTGATATTTCTATCACAAAAGAAGAAAACAATCACTTTTTCCTCTTCCAATTCGCTATTTACATGTAGATAATTTCTTGCAAATACAACGAAAACATAAGAATTCATAATTTACTCTAAGTTCTTGTAAGCTAGTAGCCGTTTCCCAGTTCTTGTCATCTCGAATTTTCGTAACTCGTGGAAAACGTATTGATATACCATCAGCTGTATGATTATCGGATCGTGAAAATTCCGCCCCTACAATAGTCGAACCGAAAATTTTCATGATTTTATAAATATAAGCTTTTCAAAACCACGATTATTCGAACGCTGGTGGGGATGGCACTACTTGGAAGTAGCATGTTGCTGTCCTATAAGCAGTCCTAATCTCGATTCGTTCATTCGTTTCAATGGGAAATTGCTTCTGGCGTATGTCAGGGTGGGAAATCTGCCAATAATTTGGTTCTAAGCAATTCTCAGGCAAAAAAGAAACCATTAAACCCGTGATGAGGGATAGCAAAGATAGAGAGAGAGAAAGAGAAGTGACGCAATTTAGGGCTCATCAGAGTTACAAGGACTGAGCAAAGATTTTTCCTCACATCACAAAAAAAGCTTAATAAGTGAAAATTCATCAACATACATAAGAAACATCTTTTCCAATCATCATATACATGAAAAATCATGAAAATAAAGCCATCCCTCTACCTGATTTAAGCTTGCCACTCAAAAATTTGCAAAAAGCTGGCTACTCCAGCAATCGGTACTAATTCACCCATCTATAAATACATACCTCTGATTTCCCAAACAGGTGAATCTTTGGGATCAGATGCAATAAAGTCGGGCACAAGCGATCGAGAACACTGTATCCAGGGCGGCAATTTTTCAAACTTTCCAGATATTTTTTGCATCTGTAATGTGAAAGCAAAAAGCTGAGATTGAAGAATTCGAAAAACGAATGTAAATGGGAAAAAAAGCAAGTAGAGAAAAAAAGTAAGGAATGCGAATAGGAAAGTAAGTTTCCTATGAAACGAATGCTTCCACTTGGGGCAGTATCTCATCATACTCAAGGAAGGACAGCATTCGAAATTAAATAGCAGTTCAAGGCTTCGGCGGATCCAGGGGGTGGCGAGGGCTCTTTCGCCCTTCCCCGCTCCCTCCCCCTTCCCTCGAAGGCTTAGGTAGCAGTTATTTTACTAAAGAAAAGTCTACTTGAAACCCTCTGTTGCCGCCTCCTCCCCCCCCCCC